AAGTAATTAATACATAAAGAGACAAAACAGCTTCTCCGGATCACCACACATTCCGGACATAATGTCCATTCCGGAATGTCTTCACTCATGAACTTCTTATCATCTTCTCTCCAAGTCCGGACAGCTTCCGGACTACTCTTCACTTCGGAACTAATGCTGACTCTGGAATAATCACTTGGACTTAGGATTGTTAAAGGTTCACTTTCAGGTTCCAACACAAATCTTATAATATGATCACAATAAGCTTAACTCGTAATCCATTAGATAATTATCTGATAACGAGTATTTCTCAAATATTAGGGTTTATAACCCTTACATTCTGGACTAAATCTTTAGTCGTAAGATTTGCTCATAATCTCACCAGCGGGTCTGTAATAGCACTATATCACGAAAACCTGTGACATATACTCAGGTCTATCAAATCTCAATATCTATCACATATCATAATTACAAATTGACAGGGTAAAAGATACCTCAACGAATCTCGTACTCGACCTCGTATCTCCCGTACAATGGTATATCTCCTCCGTCATATTCTCCCGAGAATGATTACCAAGCAGCATCTCCGATCTTGTCTGCCAAAACCTCTCAAAATGACACAAGACTCACGTATTTATACTCTGGGGTTTACCATGTCGTGGCCATATGAGCAACACGTCGTGGAGACCAACTAGACCCGATTTTGCCACGTATCGCCTCCTTTCGTCACGTGTCGTTTGCTGGTTGACACGTGTCCCGATGACTCATCTTTTACCATGGCGTGGCTAATATACCACCACGTCGTTGTGGTCATAAAGTTGAACGTTGACTTGACTTATGTTTACTTTCTCAAAATATCAACGTACTTTCATCTCAACTTCAAACAATCATAACTTTTTTCATAACACCTTTTTCGACGATCTTTATATCCACGCGTTTGTCTTTAAAAGATCTATCACTTTCTCAACTCCATTTTGCTAAAAAGAAAATATCCAATTTAAAATTACTTTATACTTTATCTCACTTACTCGTCTCACATCAATTTATATCTTTCGAAATAATACTAGTTACGAAAAACGGGTGTTATAAGTTGTCGGTGCCACTGTGGGACAATAGCTGAACATCCCCTGAAGAAGACCGGTTTGTAACCGGTTAGACCCGAGGGTGTAAATGTCTTTAGCCATTCACTATTTATGTGTCACGTCAGCTTTCCTCTCACACTTCTTTCATTCTTCAAAACCTAGAAAATTATCACATTACACTTCCTTTTATTTTTTAAATATTTTATAAAAAATATAATTTATAAAAATATTTTACTCTTTTTGTAAGGAGTTAAAAACAATAAATTTTAATATATTTTTTTTATAATTTTTTAGTATTTATATAATTTAATAAAATTTTAAAAAAAATGAAAATTACAATTAAATGGTTGTAGCCAATTAATAGAGGAGAGAGGGGGCGGGGATGAGAACTTTCACCCTTAAACCGCACATCTAAATTTCACCTAGGATATGATGTTTCTGGGTGCGGTTTCCGCTTCCTTTCACTTGCCCCGCAGCCGCATGTATACCGTCCAATCTTAATAGATAATAATCTTAATAGATAATAGGTAAATGTTAAAACGTTTTTTGAAAAGTTGTGGATTTTATCCCCCTCGTCCCTAAGACTACAATCGTACGACAAACCTAGTCGCTCACAGGGCCGGCCCAAGGGGTGTTAAGGGAGTGCTTATGAACAGGGCCCATTAAAAGATAGGGCCCAATTTTTTTTTCAGATTTTATATTAGGGTATTTTCAGATTTTTTGGATGTATATCATGTATCAGATGAGAAAGGAAGCGACGGGAATTAGAAATTAGATGAGCTGGAATCATTAACTTTTTGGGAAAAGGAAACGATGTTTTGGTTCTCGACGACGATGATTACAATTTAAGCATCGAGAAGACAAGAACTAGTTGACGATGGCTAGAGGTATTCTACTCTTCTTATTTCTTATTTGCTTAAATAAGGAAGAAATCAGTCAAAAAAATTTGTAATCCTCGATAATCAGAAAGAAAACACATAACTTTTTCTTCTTAATTGTTCAGTGAATCAAAATAGGGAGCCAAGCTTCGAAAATCTGAAGCAAATTGAAATCGAGAGTGAGGTTTCTAAAACCAAAATCTGGGATCGTGTCTAGGGACGAAAATCAGAAGGTGTTATACATTTTTTTATATCTATTTGGTATTTTTTTATATTAGTAATAGAAAATTACAAAGTGTTTTTTTATATCTATTTTGTATATTTCTAATGTTGTTTAGGAGTAATTTTTTTTATTCTTTATGATTCCTGTTTTCTTGTATCCAGAAGATTGAAACAACAATCTCCTCACTTTCAATCCAACTTTGATTTTGGAAGTTTCTGATTTTAAGATTGTCTTGAAGTGTATAATAACAAAGGTATTATACATTTTTTTTTATCAATCTGATGCATTTCTTATATTATGTAGAAGTAAATCAGTTGTTTTTTGTTCTTTCTTTTTCGTATTTTCTGGAATTTATAGGCATTGATGCAACAATCTGTTGACTTTGAATCCTTCTTTGAGACTTAGAAGTTTCTAATTTCATATTTTTTTGAAGTGCCATATAATTCTTTGATTTCATTTCTGATTTTTTTTACAGTTTTCTCAGAGAACAAGGTGTTATACTTTGCTACTTGAGTTACAATGAATATTAGAATGATGATTGTTTTTATATAGAAGCATTTTTTTGTGTATTATGTTGAATAAGATTTTAGTTTATGTATTTTTCAATAGAATAGAAAAAATTATAATCTTTTTGCTTAAATTTTAGGTTTTCCATGCTTTAGGGTCATTATTTTGTTGAATCGCACAGGGCCTTCATAATCTGGGGGCCGGCCCTGGTCGCTCATCTCTCCGTCGTCTTCTGCCCTTCTGGCGACCTTTCATCACTACCAATATTATCTGACGACTAACCTAAACGTGTAAATAGAAACACAGGAAAGAGTTCAACCAATATTACGTGGGAGTTTCTAAGGATTTAGAGGCGGAGATCAAATAGAGAGGGGTGACGCCAAGAGTTTTCTGACGCTTTCCTCTCGTATCCTGACCCATCGGAGCCCAATAACGGTGGTTTTGGTGGCAAAGAGGTTTGAAATTTAAACCAATTAGAGTTCTGATTTCAATGAACGACCATGCAGTCATCCACCACCACCTCTCCGTTCTGGTTCTGAAGGGTCAAGAATATGTTTATTTCTCATGCTAATGGTCATCTGACTTCATTGATTATCAAGATCCTACAAATTAATAAATAAAGTTTCGCTTGTTCTTAAATATCCAGTTGGATTTTGAGTGTTTAGAAGTGAATTTTCAGTGATTTTTTGTAGATCTACGTGGATTAAGGCTTCTTGTGTAATGCAAATTTATTGATTTTGTTTGGATCTGTGTATTTACTTTAATGATTAACGATAGGCGTCATGTGTATTCTCTCCGGCTTTGGAAACAATGGTGGAAGGTGGTACTGGACGACGAAAGAAGGGTGGTGAAAGTTAGGTGAAACAGAGGGGCTTTTTTTTTTTTTTTTTTTAAATTCAAAGTTAAGACTAAATAAACAATCTGCATAGCAAAAAAAATGATGATTAAATTTTTTATGTATAATTAGAAAATAATATTTTGGACGTTGGGCAGTAAGGTCAACAGACGACAGTACCATGCAGTATTTCAGTATCACATCATATTACTATATTATTTTAAACATAATTGTATGGGTAACAGTTCCCCCTCAGCTAGTTATGCGGATCCAAACCATGATTCGAGAATAAGCATGTTTGTCTTTATTATCCTTCATATATATACAATTATCACTAGTACATAAGTGATTTAACAGTGCGAAGCAATTTTTCTTTTTAAGGCGGTTGCCGGTTAAAACCGCCCTATTAAATCTATATAGCATTAAAAAATAAGAAAACTGCATTAAAAAACACCAAAAAAATCTCCTGATACATTTTGTTAGTGCAGGTAAAAAAAAATAGTATTAATAGTGATTTTTTTGGGCGAGTTGTTGTAAGAGTATCATCATGGTTTTTGGATACTCTATTTTATAAAACACATGATTAAATTTTGATTTTTTGGTGTTATATTTTGAAAAAGGCATCAACTAAAAATTAGCTATATTCGTCTGTTAGGGTTTTTTTAAACACAAACATACTTCGAAACTTCATGAAGTTTTGATGCAACATAAATACGTAAAAACTCGAAAGATTCTCATTAATTGTTTTGTTATCTTCATTAAAGATAATTTTAATTTTATTGTACTTTTGATTTTAGACAAAATGGCAAAAATGATCCCTATGATATATACTTTTTTGGGTTTTTCGTCCAAACGTCGATGTTTTTGGTTTAATGGTCATCTATGTGAAAATGATCCCCGTTAAACATAAAATTACTAATAAGCCCTTTTAATTTGTTTTTCTTATTTTCTTAAATATTTTATCCTTTATTTTAATATTAATGTAATAAAAAATAAATGGGGCCCACCCTCTCTCTCTCTCATATGAAAAAACACACACATCACAGTTCTTAAACTTTTTTAAAAAAAAACTAATACATAAGTATAGATGCATACCACCAAACATTTATCAAAGAAATATCACACCTCATCTCTTGAGATTTCATCAAAAGGCACAAAACCAATTTATATTGATTGAAAAAATAGACTTTCATCTCTTGAAGAAACAGACAGATAGTTAAGGAAGAAGTAATCACTCCAATCCAATTTGGCACCTTTCACCACCCCAACACGACTTTTGTATCCCTCATAGTCTCTGGTGAGTTAGCATACTTCTGCTGCTCCTCTACCGTAAGCTGGAAGAACTCTCGCCACACCTTATGTGTCTTTGACATGAGCTGGTGGCTAACACCATGGTTCACCACCTGGAAGAATCCCCACTCACGACCAGCATCAGATATTAGCTCCAAAGTGGCCTTACGCAACACTGCATCATCTGAGTTGAGGCCTGAGAGATCAATGACTGGGATATTGACCTCATTCGACTCCTCCACCACCGATAGCCTATCCATAATGGGTTTCACGTAGCTATCCGGGATGGCTTCTATACCATTTTTCGATAACGACTGCACTCTCACCACTTGTTCTGGCCATCTCCGTAAGACGTCCATCCACTGGAATATCCAGAAGCTTAGACAAGAATCCAATTAAAACAAACACCAGAAAATTTAGAACCGATAGTGAATAAAGTCATGATCAAGAATTTTGGATAATCACGATAAGAGAATTATCGGCAAGAAGTAGAAGATTAAGTTGATTTAGAGAGCCACTTGATGGAGGAATTCGACCAAAGACTAAGCTAGACATGAGGTCGAGCACCTGGAGTGCATCTAAAAGATTTTGAACTTTGTAAGTGGTTGGGGACGCACCCGTCTTCTTCCTCACAAACATCATCATCATCATTTGTCCCTTCTAATAGAACTATGGATAAATATGTGAAAACCAGTGCTTTACCCCATGTTGGCACTTTGCTTTACCCCTTCAGAATGGTTGGAAGACACCAGATCTCTGATAGCTTCTTCACTCTGAAAGAGGTTGATGGTGGTCGGCGTTTCCATTTCAATCGTCAATTTTTTGAATCTTTGGGTAGGACCTTCGATTTCGGGGCTACCGTTTGTGAGTAAACATGATGAAGGAGATGAAGAGAGGGAGAGAGATTAATTGAAACCTGTGTGAGAGTAAGAGGAAAAGGTTTCCTGAGACCATCTCCATTTTTTCATAAATGGAGTAAAAAATAGGGTAAATAGTGTTTCATCTCCAACCCTACTCCATTTTCTATCCAATTTTTTACCCCAAAAAATATATTCCTAGAATATTCCATTTTTATAACTTATATATATTGTCAAATACACCCCTCTACTAATTAGATTTTAACAAATATATATTATATTTTTTCATTACAAAAATATTTCAAATTATATTATAATAAATAAAATGTTTATATATAAAAAATTTAAATTAATTATTACTTTATTATAAATAATTATTAAATTAATAAGATTATATTTATAATAAATATATCAAGATTACGATCATATTTGTTTACTATATTTTATAAATTATGTTACTGTGTTTCAAGTTTTTAATATATATTTAATTTTTTATATGAATTCAATAAATAAATATTAAACTCTATATTTATAATTAATTAATATAAATTAGTATATAACATGATATTATAAATATTAAATATTGCATTTAAATTATAATTAGTAGATAAAATAAACTAGAAATGTATAAAAGAAAAATGAGAGGGACTAAAATTGACAACCAAACTTCACCTCCATTGTTGGATATATGAATAGTATATGGGGGAATACTATTCATATCTCCAAAGATAGAGGTGAAAATTAGGTAGGGTTTGAGAAGAATAAAGGAAAAATGGGGGAAAATTGAGTTTGGGGTGGGTTGGAGATGCCCTGAGGAGTTGAAGAACAACATCAGCTTTGTTTTTCTCGATTTGCATTTGGTGTTGAGAGAGAGAGAGAAAGAGAAAGAGAGAGAGAGAGAGAGAGAGAGAGAGAGATGATGGGCCCTCTTTAAAATTTTAAATTATAATAATAGATAAATACATATTAAATTAAAAAAATTGAAGAAAAATAAAAAATAAATACATGAGGGGCATTACAGTCATTTTAGTTTATCGAGGGACCAAATATGCATCAAAACTAGGCCCAAAGGACCACCAATCCAAAAAAGTCGAGGTTTGGACCAAACCTAAAAAAAATGCATACCATAGGGACCGTTTTTGCGGTTTTGTCTTGATTATATTCTACCTAATTATTTGTTATATGATTTTTTATTGATATTTTTTAAATTGATGTTTTAGATTATGAAGATGTTAAAATTTACATAACTTGTTTGTTTAAAAACAATATATTTACATTCTTTGTGTATTTATTTTAATTTTCAGATGAAGCGTGATTATTGGATGTACAAAACTTCTTGTTTTTGTGAATTTTATATAGAGGGTGTTCAAACTTTTATTGGGGTTGCCGATGCAAATCGCTTAGAAAAAGGAAGTGGATCGATTTGTTGTCCTTGTAATGTTTGTAAAAACTTTAAAAAGTTTAATTGTACCGATGAAATAGAGTATCATTTGCTGCAAAATGGTTTTGTGCTTAATCACACTTGTTGGTCAAGCCATGCAGAAACACTACTTGATTGTAGCACATCGTTGAGCACTTTACAATATTAATAATAGTACATACAGCAACGATTCATATGTTGATGATGATGATCACCATTTAAATGACCCCAATGACAATTTCAATGAAATGTTTGATGACATGGAGGCTAATATGGGTGATGTTGAACAAGAAAAATTACAAGGCCAATTTGAAGTAGCAGAAACACCATTATATAGTGGTTCCATATTTATGAAACTTGATGTTGTATCGAGGTTGATTAACTTAAAGTCGAAAACGAATGGAGTAATAAAAGTTTCACAAGTATATTAGATATTTTGCATGACATTCTTCCGAAAGACAATTAATTACTCATTTCTACATACCAAGCAAAAAAGCTAATGTGTCCGATGGGATTGGAAGTTGAAAGAATACATGCATGTCCAAATAATTGTATGTTGTATAGAAAGGAGTTCGAGAATAAACATAATTGTGTTTCTGCAATGCATCAAGGTATAAACGGAAAAAATAATTTGGATGAAGTTGACGATGATGTGACGAAAAAATGGACCACCAGCTAAAATGTTGTGGTATCTCCCTATTATACCAAGACTGAAAAGGTTATTTTCAAATGAAAAAGAAGCAAGTTACTTTGTTCGTCGTCGGAAGAACGTGTAACTGACATAAAAGTAAGACATGTTGTGGATTCACCTCAGTGGAGAAACATTGATAAGAAGTATCTGAATTTGGAAAAGAAATGAGAAACATACGATTTAGGCTTAGTTCAAACGGGACCAATCCTTTTGGGAACATGAGCAATCGTCATAGTACGTGGTCAGTTTTTTTATGCATTTACAATCTTCCACAGTGGTTATGCATGAAACAGAAATAAATTATGATGTAGTTGTTAATTCATGGGCCGAGACAGCCTGGTAACGATATTGATGTGTATTTGTCTCCTTTGATTGATGCTTATAAGAAACAACACTTTCAATTGCGGGGCATATTTTTTTTACTATAAGTGATTTTCCAGCATACAATAACTTGTCATGATACAAAACAATGGGTATTAAGCTTGTCTATTTTCTGAAGATGAAACAAGCTCGTATGGTTAACAAATTGTAAAAAAACTGTATATACATGGGACATCGAAGATTCCTTCCGAAGGGTCACCGTTTTAGGAAGAAAACTATTGAGTTTGATGGAAGTATCGAGATCAGAAGCATTAGGAAATGATTTGATATATTTTCACGAGTTGCAAGTATAAATGTTGTGTTGGGAAAAAGATTTCGTGTTGATAAAGATGCCCTTTTGAAAAAAAAGCCAAGTTTTTTTTAATTGCCTTATTGGAGACATTAGGATGTTGGACATTGTTTAGATGTTATGCATATAGAAAAAAAAAATGTATGTGAGAGCTTGATATTCTTATTATTAGAGATGAAACATAAAACTAAAGAGGTTAAAGTCCGAAAGGACATGGTCGAGATGGGGATACATGAAGATATTGCCTCCAAACAGAGTGCTAACCATATTTATCTCCCACCTGCTTCTTATACTACATCTAAAGAAGAAAAAATAAAGTTTTGTCAATGTTTACATGATATTAAGGTTCCATCAACTTAGTCTACAAACATTAAAAGATTTATGTCGATGAAAGACTGTAAATTGTTTGGAATGAAACCTCATGATTGTCATGTTTTGATGACACATATGATTCCTATCGCAATTCGCGGAATTTTACAAGATAACGTCCGACATTCTATCACTAAGCTTTGTTTGTTTTTTATCAACACTCACTCAAAGATTATTGATGTAGAAGATTTGGATCAATGGGAGAAAGACGTTTATGTTACACTTTGTGAGCTAGAGATGAACTTTCCACGCTCATTTTTTTATATGATGGTTCACCTGATGTCTCATATCGTACAAGAGGTTAAAGTTTGTCGTCATGTATTCTTACGGTACATGTACCCTTTTGAAAGATACATCGGTATCCTAAAAGGTTACGTAAGAAACCGTAATCGGTCTGAGGGCAGTATTGTTGAAGGGTATACTTTTGAAGAGGTGATTGAGTTCTGCCAAGTTAATCCTATTAATAATATATTACAGTTATAATAATTTATAATACATTACATATAATATAATAATTTATTTTTTATAGGCTATATGAAAGATGTTGAAAGTTTTGGTGTTCCTATAAATCGTCATTCGGGTCGACTTGAAGGTAAGGGACGAGTCAGTTTGAAAATAACCATGCCAACTTATGAAGAGTTACAAGTTTCACATTTAGTGGTCTTAAAACATATGAAATGTCTTACTCCATACATTGATGAACACATGGAGATGTTAAAGTCGAAATACCCGGGAAAGGAACAAATGCGGTACATAAACAATCATAACAAAGAGATTTCGAGGTGGCTGAAAAAGAGGGTAGTAGAAACTAATGTTGATGAAACTGTGAAAAGGTTGGGAAATAGGCCAGATTGTAGAGTTAAATATTATCAAGGGTACGACATTAATGGGTATAACTTTTACACTAAAGATCAAGATCAACAAAGTACAATGCAGAATAGTGGAGGTACAATGATAGCATCAACAACCGAGCTCGACATACGGGATCATGATACTTTGATAAGAATAGTCAAAGATTCTTATTATGGTGTTATACAAAAAATTTGGGAGTTGAACTATTTTGACTTCGTTATTCCTGTGTTCACATGTAATTGGGTGAATAACCCTACAACTGTTAAAGTTGACAAAGATGGTTTTACACTTGTCGACCTTACAACTAGTGGCTATGCATCTGAACCATTCGTTCTCGGAAAACATGTCACACAGGTTTTCTTTATTAAAGACCCGAGCAAACAAAAAGAGCACATCGTCTTACAAGGTAAACGACATATTCTTGGTGTTAATACTATCGTTGACGAGGAAGAATATGACCATTTTGATGATCTACCACCATTTTCGGTCGGTATTGAACCTGGTAATTACGTTAATCTTGAACGCACAACATTCATACAATATAACATGGAAGGGACATATGTTGATTAAGGGCGTGAATGGGTTTTTTTTTCATTTTTGATTATTGTGGTTACATTATTTTTGTATCAAATACTATCCATTGATAGAGTAATTATAATATTGTCCTTATCTTTTGATAATTACAACGTTTCTATAATGATATCCATTCATAGAATAATAATCTCGAATTAAATTAGAGTGCTTGTTTTAAGTGAAAACATTGAATAACATTACATATATTAGTAAAGATTT